CTTCGGAACGCAATTAGTCCGTAAGGACCCATTGTTCCTTCGGAACGCATCTAGTCTGTAAGGACCCACTGTTCCTTCAGAACGCAACTAGTCCGTAAGGATCCATTGTTCCTTTGGTACGCAACTTGTTCGTAAGGACCCATTGTTCCTTCGGAACGCAACTAGTCCATAAGGACCCATTGTTCCTTCAGAACACATCTAGTCTGTAAGGACCCATTGTTTCTTTGGAACGCATCTATTGTTCCTTCAGAATGCATGGAAGATTTTGATTTTTTTTCCATGAAACGAGAATTTTTTTAATCTTCCATGGAACGAGAAATTTTCGTTCCACGGAAGATTAAAAAGATTTTTTTTTTTTTTTTTCCTTTCGGGGGGTGCTAGTCAACCATGGTGTTTTTTAAGAGTTTCAAACCCCATACTATCACCGTTTTGGAGCGAGAACAGACTCTGAGAGGTCATGTCACTAGCACAGACAGTATCATCAGCAACCACAAATCAACTCAGAGAGCAACGAGATATATAGACGCAGGGAGGCTTTACCAACAGCTCAGACAACGTTATCAACACCCGTTGCCAGAGCGTCTTTATCAGCTATGGATCATCCAGAAGCCATTGATAGAGTGAGACCATACTCCGAGAGGTCATGCGACCAGCACAGACAGTGTCGTCAATAGTCACAAATCAATCCAGAGAGCAATGACAAATATAGTCTTCATTAGCCACAGATTAGACAACAACCATTCAGAGAGTAAGAACAAACTCCAAGAGGTCATACCACTAGCATTGTTAGCTATCGCCAGAGCGTCTTTATCAGTCATGGATCATCTAGCAGCCATTGATAGAGCAAGACTATACTCCGAAAGGTCATACCACCAGCATCATTAGCCATTATCAGTTTTAATGATAATTTCAAGCCGAAGCTCCACCAAAAGATCTCACTCAGTGTATAAGTTTTACTTATGCACCAGACACCAGTAGTCACTTGATATGAAGTTACTGAGTTACGCAAGTGTGCTTATGCATATTTGTCTCAAAGATAGAGCTCTGTTGCAGATGTTGTAAGGATGTAACAGACAAAGCTTGTATGTCTATGCCTCTGTGTGGTGATTTGTTTTTACTTCAACAATATCTTGGTGACAACCATGAATTTTTTTCTTGATGCAATACCTAGAAAACCAAATTTCTCTTTTAGCAACACCTCGGTGGCAAGCAATTTTTTTTGTTCGACGATGAGTCAAAATTTGTTGCAGCAACACTTTGGTGATGACCCGGATTCTTCAGTGACGCATTGGCGGCAAGTCAATTTTATTTATTTCTTCCAGCTATACCTCGATGACGAAATTTTTTCCTTCAACGATAGCTCAACGAAAATCTTTTTTAGCAATACTTTGGCGGTGAGCAGAATTTTTCTTGGCACCTACAGTCTGGCGACGAACCAATTTATTTCTTCGCAACTACACTTTGCCGGATCAAAATTGCCTTTGTAGCTACAATTATGGCGAGGGACCAAAGTTTTCTTTGCAACTACACTTTGGTGGCATGCCAAGTTGACAGGTGCGACGAGCACTTTTGATATCATGCGATGAGCACACTTTGCCCCTTTTTTTTTTTAGGTTAGGTTGACTGAACTTGGAACAAACTTCCAAGATGCCTACATATCCTAAACAGGGATCAAGTCATCATGTAGTTCACAAATATTTTTTTTTTGGCGGACAATTTATACTCGTGCCAAGGAGTTTTTTTTTTTTTTTTTTTTTTTTTTTTTTTTTTTTTTTTTTTTTTTCTTCTAGATAGACAGTTTATACTTATATCAAGGAGTGTCAATTTTTTTCAGGTAGACAGTTTAAGCTCATGTCAAGGAGTGTCATTTTTTTGTTTGGGAGACAGTTTAAACTCGTATCAAGGAGTTCTTGATTTTTTTTTCAGGTAGATAGTTTAACCTCGTGTCAAGGAATGTCATTTTTTTTTTTTAGTATACAGTTTAAACTCGTATTAAGGAGTTCTTGATTTTTTTTTTCAGGTAAACAGTTTAAACTCGTATAAAGAAGTTCTTGATTTTTTTTTTTAGGTAGACAGTCTAAACTCGTGTCAAGGAGTATCATATTTTTTATTTTTTTTATTTTATTTTTTGGGAGACAGTTTAAACTTGTATTAAGGAGTTCTTGATTCTTTTTTCCAGGTAAACAATTTAAACTCGTATCAAGGAGTTCTTGATTTTTTTTTCAGGTAGACAGTTTAGACTCATGTGAAGGAGTATCATTTTTTTTTTTTTTTGGGAGACAGTTTAAACTTGTATCAAGGAGTTCTTGATTTTTTTTTTTTTGGTAGACAGTTTAAACTCATGTTAAGGAGTGCTTGAATTTTTTTTCCAGGTAGATAGTTTAAACTCGTGTCAATGAGTGTTTTTGACAGTTTAGGCTCATATCTGGGAGCACTTCGACAGTTTAGGCTCGTATCTGGGAGCATCATCGACAGTTTAGGTTCATATCTGGGAGCATCATCGACTTTAATAACTTTTTTCAACTTTGCAAGAGTCAGACGACAATCCAAACTTATGCTGAAGGGTATGGGCTATCTCGGCGTCACTTTGAGGATTTTTTTCTTGGTTTCCTTGACTTAATGCCCTTTGTGATTTTGCACTTTCGGTTGAAGTCATTGTTGTAACATGACGCGTTTCTTGATGCAAGTCTTTTGAGATGATACTTATAATGAAAGATGAAGTTATTTCGTCATCCGAGTTAGGAAGTATATTGTCTTCTTCTTCGGACTCACTTCTCTCATCTTCTTGAAGGTTGTCGGATATATCAGGAACCGCTTCCCTAGCACCATTATTTTCTATGCTAAGCTCCATGTCGTAGGCTCGAGTAACAAGCTCTTTAAATGTGCGAGGCTTAATCCCTTGTAGGATATAAAGAAACTCCCAGCGCATGCCTTGCATACATGCTTCAACTGTAGAAATTTCAGATAAACGATCCTTGCAGTAAAGACTTAGAGCTCGCCAACGGTTGATGTAGTTAACTACGGGTTCACTCTTCATTTGTTTTGTATTTGTAAGCTCTAGCATACTAACAGTACGACGAGTGTTATAGAAACGGTTAAGAAATTCTCGTTCCATCTGCTCCCAACTATCAATACCTCCAGCTTTGAGGTCTGTGTACCAATCAAATCAAATGCATTCCCTTTGAGGGAATGAACGAATTGCTTGACAAGGAGATCTCCGTCTGTACCAGCATTGCCGCAAGTCTCAACAAAGTGTTCAACATGTTGCTTGGGATTGCCTTTTCCGTCAAACTGTTGAAGCTTTGGAGGTTGATACCCAACCGACATTTTTAAAATGTCAATTATTTCTGTGTAAGGCTTTGAGTACATGCAAGCACTTTGAGGAACGCCACTGTATTGTTCTCTTATGCGATTCATTATCATGTCTTGAAATTGTTGGACAGAAAGTGAGGTGATGGAGACAGCTTCAATTGTTGGATTAGCGGACACGTCATTTTGATTATTAATTAGAGTGTTCTCTGGCATAAAATTAGAATGAGGAATTCGGCCTTTGTTTGACTTAGCATTGTCGTCACGCAATTTTAATTTTTCTGTCAGCGAGGCAATTTTCAGATCTTGCTCCTTGAGAGAGTGTTGTAATCTTTCAATTGCATGGGCCATAGTCGTCAATTGCTCTTCGTCTGAATCTTTTTGGAAGTCATAGAATCTGACGATAAATTTGTTGAGAATTTAATGTAGGAGAAAGAGATGAGAGGCAGGGGATGTCCTACCGAGTGTGCCAGAAATTTGTACACACAAATTTTGTAAGTCTGCAAATAGAAACAAAATATGGACAAAATAAAACTTTTATTAATTTGTGAATTTGGAGTACAATCCTTTATAATTGTCTTTACAAAAAGAATGGTCCTCTGATTCGAGATCCAAGGGCTGCACGAGCTTGTTCTTGAATCACTGTGGAATTTGATGAAGAACGGCACGTCGTTGGATGTGTTTGTTGTTGATCACCGTGGAATTTGATGAAGAACGGCACGACTTTGGATCTGCTTGATGTTCTTCGCTTTTGGGTTTGGATTCTGAATTTGTGTCTCTGACTTCTGAGTCTCTGGATTTCTGAACTTCTGAATTCTGAATTTGTATCCTTTGTTTCTGGATTTCTGAATTCTGAATTCTGAATTTATTTTTGTGTTTAAATTTCTAAACTTCTGAATTCTGAATTTGTGTCTAAATTTCTAAACTTTTGAATTCTGAATTTGTGTCTGACTTTCTGAACTTTTGAATTCTGAATTTGCATCCCTTGTTGAATTTGAGGAAGAATGGCATGTCTTTGGATGTGCTTGTTGTTCTTCGTCTTCAGAGAGGAGAGAATTTGTTGAATTTGGTAAAAAACGGCACGACTTTGGATGTGCTTGGTATTCTTCACCTTCAGGTTTGCCCTCGGGATTTCTGGCCTCTGGATTTCTGAGTCTTTGGATTCTGAATTTTTGTACCCTTCTCCCTTCCTCCAGGCCTCTATTTATAGGCTTCTTGGGTTGATAGGATGATGACACGTGTCATCTCCTGATAAGGATAAAATTATAACTGGGCCGGGCCGGTTATATTATTGTAATTATCTTTAAAAATAATTATTTCAAATATATTTTATTAATAATAATTATCTTTTTATTTAATCATCTGGGTTGGGCTAATTAAATAACTTAATTAAACAGTAGGCCCATATTTAATGGGTTCATTTGTCAACACCAAATCCCACTAAAATTTTAGTGTCGACAGTATGATTTCCTTTTTGAAAAAAACTTTCATCCAATTCAATCAAAACTTATTTTCATATTTCTAATAATTATCTTATTAGACTCATCCATTTTTCGGGTGATTTAACAACAATTGGACCGGATCTATTTATTTTCGAATTGGGCTTGGTTTTGGGCTAAACCTTTATAGTTCTTATTTCATCGGCCCAACACCAATTACCGATCTGAACGAACACAACGTTTATCACACAGTATACAATCAAAAAACTGAAAAAATTGTTCGATTTGTTGTTGTAAAGACTGATCGCTGAGAGAATCAATAATGGTGAAAGCTGTGATCGGAGAAGAAACCCAACTCAAATTGGCCGAAGATCGCCTCAGCCAATCCGCTGTCCCCTCTCAGGTCTCTCTCTCCTCTCTCTCTCTATAGGTAATTGTATACACTCATACATGTATGTTATTGATAATTGGGAATTCTAAAATGAGGGTTTTATTCTGACGCAGGTGGGTCTTGTAATAGGGAAGCTTAGTTCGTCGTTGGACCGGGGTTTTGTGTTCGATTTGATTCCAACACCTCCAAACGATGCTGGTGAGCCAGCTTGTTCAATTTTGGAGAGTGTCAGAGATGACAAGAGAAAGGGAACGAAAGCAAAATCTGCTACCGAATCTTCATCTTTGGTCATCGACAAAGATTGGGTCGTCGAACACGCTCGTCAGGTCTAATCTCTTATATATATATATATATATATATAATTACATTCGCAGAAACACACGAATTGTAGTTTACATTTCTATCTCGGTTAAATTTGTGTGTATAATTGAAATTCTGAATCCAGTGTATATACACACGTAATTTGTAAAAGAAAAGAAAAAGAAATGTATCTTCTATTGTTCATTAGGCAATTTATAATTTCTTTTGAAATTTTAATTAAGGGGTAATCTGTTTTTCATACTTATTTGTTGTTGAACGACCCTCACCCTTAAGCTTGCTTAACTCCGGAGTTTTGATAGGTAAACGGCTTTAAAACGCGATGTGTAGGGTGATGAACCTACATATAGCACTTCATTCTTCCACACCCGTGGGAATTGTGAGCACATGTAGCTCGCACTAGAGGCTTGTCTCTCACAGGCCTGCTCCCGCCCACCGAGCCTCACAAATTTTTTTTTTCTTTCTATTTTTGTATTGCTTTCTATTCCATTATATACAATTGTGTTCATAATAGGAAGGACATGTCTAAATCTGTTGAACATTTCAAATGGCTTCTATCACCTGATTTTGTGAGGATCAAAGCTGTTTATTTGCATTGAATTTGCTGTCTATGTCATTTGTAAGGTTGTAACTGAGCTGAGCTGAGTAGTCGGTTGCTGAGCTTGGGTAAAATAGTTAACGAGCTTCAGATTATGATCAAGCGTGTCTTGTTCATCTCAGTGATGATCTTGAGTGAGTCTCTAACCAATCTGATGTTAAGCTGAGTTTGGTTTGAGCATTTTAAATTAATGAGTTCGAGACTATGATTAAGATTGCCCCAGTTATCTCATGAGTTCATTTCAAACGAGAACTAAGATTATTGCAAGCAAGCTCGAGCCTCGAGCAGCTGCTTTCTTTCACAGTTCTACGTATTTGGCCGAGAAGGAGAAAAAATAAAAAATAAAAAATAAAAAGAAAATCAGAAGGTATTTTACTTGTAATATGGGCTTTTATTGGGTGTTTTAGTATGTTACTAATAATGTGCCATCTGTCCGTTGTCTTTATACCTACTTAACGTGATTATTTAAGTTTGGTGCTTGTGTTATCTTTAACTTACATTACATGTTGATGTTATTGTTCTATAATTTTTCAATATTGCCATCTTATGTAGCATTCAGTAGTACAAATATGGTCCGAATTTAAGTTCGTACTCAGAATTTAGCAGTTTCGTAATTTGATTATGTATGTTCAGGTCTCGAGAATGCTATTAGGTGGCATGAAGGTGGTCGGCATCTATATATGGGTCAACGAAAGCACATTCAAGAATTCTACCCTAATACTCTGCCAGGTGTTATATTCACTAAAAATGGATTACGTTTGTGTCTTTGTGTCTCTTGCTTTAATTTGAATTTGAACAAAACTAAATAATTCAATTCTCCAAATTTAGGCCAGTCCAGGTCTGGCCTGTCTCAAGTTCATGTAGTCTCTGTCCTTGTTAAGTGCTGAGAAATGGAAACCTACATGTGACTAAAATGATAATCACATTATTGGCTCTTTCTTAATTGCTGTAGAACTTTTGCTTTAATTAGCACTTACGGGAACTCAATATGCCTCCAACTTGGGTGAAATTTCTACGTTTATTTATAAATACTGAGCATATCTATTGTCAATTGTAATTGTTCTTGCAGGCTGTGAAAGGAGTTGCAGAAGCAGCACCCTTACTCCAGACGGATGGGGATGGGAGACTGCTTATTCACATCAGTTATAGTCCAAGGAGGTGACTATTAAAGTTCATTTTCATTTTCATCCAAATGAATTCCTTCTATTAAATCATTGATAAAATAATAATAATAATAATAATAATAATAATAATAATTAATTAATTAATTAATTGTGTAGATGGACATGCCGAAATTGCACACTGGCTTCAAATATTACATCAAGCAATCTACACCCTTGTGATTTCAAAATGGGACGGGTCTTAAATTCCCTTCAAAAGTTTAGTTGCACGTACAACTTTGATATGAGGTAACTGTTGTATTTGCATTTACATTGGAAAACTCTTTATTTTTTTTCCTTATAATTGGAAAGCTCCTTATAATTTTTAAATCATGACATTGTTCATCATATATAGCAACTTGATGAGTTTGTTTGCTTTGGTTCTCTGTGGCCTTTGTTTTACTTTTGTTATTTGTCTAAGGGATGTCATAACCAAGATACATACCAATGGGATGGAAAACAAAATATATCTTTTACGTATCCACCCAGTTTGTCAACCTTTTGGGAAATGATACAAAAAAAACCAAGATATGTTTTCAGATTTAGCTATACAATTAAAACCCGTCATTGCTACAAGGTTATATATGAGAGAGAGAGTTCTGTTGTTTGTACCAAGTATCAAGTTGTAATATGTGTTATCTAATTAATTAATTTGATAAATCTTGAACTTAGTTGTATTTTAATTACATAATGAATGGGGAGGCTATCTTATTTAGAAAATTATATATAGGGTACACATGAAATACTAAGTGAGAACATGGGTTAACTTTGTTTTGAGCCAAATCTTACAACTTTGAAAATAGTGAAGCGGTGTGCCCAGGTTCAATTTCGGCAACACTGCCTTTTAGACATTAATACTTTGTTTTTTAGGTGCAATCAAATTACTATTAAGTAGAAACACTATATGATAATGGTACAAAATAGATGATTCTGAAATTCATGAATGATAATTTAGAAGGGGAGCATCTAGGGGTGACAATTTGTGTTGGCCAGTCATAATCGTGTCCTGTCGTGTTGACCTTATAGTATTCTGTTATAGAGGTTATCTAACCCGTTTTAATAATCATGTCAGGAACTCTTGATACAAATACGACTCCTTTTAATAAATTAGTCGTGTAACTCACTACATGACATGACTATTTAATAACCTATTTAACCCGTTTAAATTAAATGAGTCATCTAACTCGTTTATTAACCTTTTTATTAAGTATAAATGCAAATATAATGGAAAAATTATATAATGGATGACTAACTACAAAAAACGAGGACAATTTAGACAATGCAATACGCATATTGGGTTTATATTGAAATAACACAAATGTACATAGTAATCGGGTTGAAATAGATTACGATTTATTCGTGTCAAATAGACACAATTAATTAAATGAGTTTAATTAGGTTAAACAAGTTGAGCCCCAAACACGAACACGACACAATTAATTAAGTGGGTTAAATGAATTGATACGACACAATAAGGTCAACCCAAACCCGCTAACTTTCTGTCGTGTGCGCGGGTCGTGTCGAATTTTGCCAACCCTAGGAGCACCTTTCAATTTGAAGGCAATCAAAAGTTGGCAGCTTTTGCATTCTAATTATTTTTAGTTTCAAGTATATTGCGGTCTATTAGTATGCGCTTGTTTAAATCAATTGTCATGGCTTGCGCAGACCAGGCATCACTTTATCCTCTAGTAAACCTGATTTAACTATGTAGGTATCTGAACAATAAAGATTCCCTCACTTGACTTATGATACATTTCAAAAACCAACATTTTCCCCCCTAGTTGAGACACCAACCAATTTACCTTATGGGGAACTTTAACCCTCGGCTTTCTACTAAAGAAGGTGTGGAAGTACTACTTGGCTTAGGGGTGGCAATTGGATGGGTTTTGGACTGGTCATGAATGGGTCAATAACCCATTATCAGCCCATTCATAGTGGGTCATAATTGGGTTGGGTGTTAAATGGGTAAGTGAACCCACACCCAACCCAGTAACCCAAACATTTTTAGACACAAATTGTCTTGAGTTATTTTTATTGTTGAATAAAAAAATAAAAATAAAAATAAAAATTTGTTCTTACATTAATTTTTTGATTTCAATCATTACAATTTTTTTTTCTTTTTTATTTAATTTTGGGAAAAGTCACTATACAACTTACTCAACAATATTAATTATATATATATATATATATGTTTAAAAAAAGAATTTTGAGCAGAAATTTTAATTAATTGTTGGTCATTTATTTTCATACAATAAAACAAAAGTTTTTTTTTTTTTTTTTGGCCTGCCAAGAATAAAAGAAAACAAGAAACTAAGAAAAATCAAAATCAATGCTGAAGTAAGCCAAGTTCCCCAAAAGTCCCACATAAGATCAGTACACTGAGTCCTCAAAGCCCATTGGCTGAGAGAGAGAGTTATCACAGGAAAAAAAAAAAAAGCAGACTGGAGAGAGAACGGAGGGGAGGGAAGAGAGAGAAAAAAGGGGGAAGAAATGAGAAAACAGAGAAGAGAGAGGAACGGAGGAGAGAGAAAAAAAGGAAAAGTGATAGAATACTGAGGAGAGAAAAAAATGGTAAAAAAAAAGAAAAGAAAGCATAGAGGAGAGAGAAAACGGATGAGTGGGAAGAGAGAAACGTAGGAGAGAGAAAAAAGGGCAAAGATGAGAGAAAATAGAGGAGAGAAAAAAAAGAGGAGAAAAAAAAAAAATGAATACTAGGAGAGAAAAAAAAGTTTTGTTTGAGCGGGTTAAGATGGGTACCCACTCTTTATCCACCATCGACCCTTGATTGTAATGGGTACCCACTTTTTACCCATTACTGACCCACTCACTTAAATTTGGGTGCCCAAATGATTTAATTTTAGTGTACGGGTTTGGGCATAAATTGTCACCCCTAACTAGGCTAGAACCGTTGGCAGCAACCAACAATTTCATCTTTCCCCCTTGGAATTCTATTAACTCCACAAGCAACTGAAGCTATCTAGTTATCTGTTTAATGTCCCAAGTTTACCCACAAAATAATTCATATAAGTTCCTTAGGGCTTCATATTACTCCTGCCTGAGTTCATTTTTTCCCCCAAAGAATCTTGCATTGTTATAAATGTGATAGGCAACACACAAATTATTTTAATTAACCACTGCATCTTGCTACTTACTGTATGTTTACGAAAAGATGCTAATGACTATTTCCTTGTTTAGCTTGAAGCAAAGTATCCACTTGGAACCAAAAAAAATTTCTAGTTCTTTTGGTCTCTGAATATTTTTTAAGCCACCAATTCTAGCACTAAGAAGCTATTTGAGGTTGTTGTGTCTCATGGGTCAACCTATCTCTTCTCAGATTGCCAATATGCCGTGAGAATGCATCAAATATCAGAAGATTGGTTGACATCCTTCGCCATGGAATCTCAAGTCATGCTAAAGAGCTTAAAGGTGCAAAGGCTTTAATTGATGGAAAGTTGGTAAGAAGTACTTCGACATGCCACTTTGGGAGCACTGTTATTGATTGCTAAATATTTTTTCCTTCTACACCCTGGATGTATTTGTGAATTTATTTTCCTGACATTAGTTCTTCTATAATTTTGAGAAAGCTCTGCCAAACAAAATTTGTATGCGTTTCAACTTAACAAACTTTTTACTGAAATTATTACGTCGCCACTGACCTCTCCTGTATTTATAGTTTTACCAATTTTTCACCAAAAAACATGTTTTCTACTCGAGTAACTTGTCAGATCAAGCTAATTACCCCACAAAACCTTAAGCATTTAAGTGTCTTATTAATTAAATTAATTTCCATTAATTAAACCAAAAATAAACCTAAAGTATCACACTAACCATTATCTACTCTGTTTGCTTGCAGCAGAAATAATGTTCAACCTACTATATTACTGTTCTTTTAGTGGACTATCTCTCATATCAGCTTTGCTTAAATATATAGTCTTCCACTCTCTTTTAGGTGCTTGAGGATGAACAGTTATTAGATGGTTTGCATGAAGTTGAATTTCTTCTACCTTTCATGCAAGATGCATCTATGGAAGGTGCATCCTGACTTTTTATTTTTGGATTAGGTTATTCCTTGCTATGAGCATAATTAGTTATTTATTCTAACATTTTATTTGTTTGTTTATTTAACCATTTTATGTAAAGCATGCAGCCAAAAGGAGGTCCTTGGTGTTCTCATCCTTAGTGGCTCCGTGTGTTCTTTTGCATATTTAAATTCAAAAGAACCATTTTCACAGGCTTTGGCTGATATAAAGGTATTATATAACTTACAGTTTTGGCACCATTCTTGATTTTCAATTGAACACTTATTTTTGCTTTTATATTTAGTGGTAACTTAAATTTGCATTGTGTAGTTTGGTTTCTTGAATAATATTTGTACCTCTATATGATATATCATAACTCTGCTCTGTGTTACATGGACACTCCTATTCCCCTAAATGTTCCTGTGTTGACACAACGTATGAGCTATGTGTACGACATGCGTACCCAAACTGACATATGTGTATGAGATATGGAATCCCCCTCTTTCCATTATATTCCTTTTAATTCTATTTTAAAATAATAATAGTAATACAATTAATTTAAATTATTATTAAATAATAATAGTATCAATAGTTACACTTTTATGTAACATATTATATTTTTAATTGACTAAGACGTGTTCACAGAACCTGCATCCAAGTTTTGGACATATTTCAAGTGGAGTTCCAGGCTTCCTGTATCCTAAGATTTGGGATCCAAGTCAGTCCGACACTTGGACACATACCCTCTTCCTGTACTTTTAAGTGCATGAAGTACCCGTGTTGTGACACTTGGGCATGGGTATGGAATATGAGTCTAACATGTCAGGTCGGGTATTACGCTTCTTTTGTTACATCATTGCTTAAAAATGAGTCAAGTGCCCAAATAGAACACTTTATGTTACACAAAAATGGACCATTTACCCTGGCCAAGAGAAAAAATATTAAAAATATACCATATCCCTGTGTCCACTTTGGGATTTGATAAATCGGATGCTTAGACACGTACCTCCATCTGAGTTACATTTGTGTAACATAATTTCATAAAAGATTCCTTTATCCTTGGAATACAGATTGATAATTGTTATTATAGGAGATTTATTGATTCCTTACCATCTAATGTCTTGCATTGCTTATACAATGCCATATCTTTGAGGGAAAATACCAGCCTTTGATTTTTTCCTTCAAAAATTTAGAAATGTTTTGAATGTTGTTTTGCATTACTCTTGAATAATCTTTTCTCCTTTGCAATCATGAACTTACTTTTTAGGGGGACATCATCATGAGCCTGCAAAGTAGACTAGCTGTCATCTGTGATGAGGCGGATGGAGAATCAGATACTATTGTTGATGGTGGCGAGGAAGCAAGCAATGAGATATCAGCTGGGAAACCTATTCCCCAACTCGACCTGCAATTGTTGAGGTGTGGTAGCTCCTCCAACATTTGTATGCTGTTGTTTTTGAATAGATTTAAATGCAAGAACTTGTGTATTGTTGTTTATGTATCACATTTTCTCTATAGTTAGTTTTTCTTCAATCATAAATTAATAACATCGGACCTTTGAGCCTATGAAGCATGGACGCAGGTACAAATTCTTAAAGACAGGATAGGCTGCAATATATGTGTGTGTGTGTAAAAACAAATAATATGTAGTTCTGTACAAATTTGAAGCAATAATGGTAACTACATATATTATGACTAACATTCATTTATAAACAGAAATGGAGGCAAGCTAGAGGTATCCTTTGTGACAAACGAATACGAAATATATTAAAAGGAAAATTCTATAGAAAGGTTATTAGGCCAGCAATATCGTACAGAGCAGAGTGTCGGGCGTTGAAAAAGACACAAATACAACGCATTTATGTAGCGGAAATGAGGATGATACGTTGGATGATACGAATCACTAAAAGAAATAAGGTAAATAATGTACGTGTGAGGGGAACATTAGGTATAGCGCCTATAAATGATTGAATTAGGAAAAGTAGACTTAGGTGGTATGGTCATATTCAACGTAGACCCAATGATGCAGCTATTAAAAGAGGAAGAGTCGTTTGTTTAGAAGGTAAGCGACAAAGAGGCCGACCAAAGCTTAAGCAGGATGAAGGCTTGAATTAATTAAAAACGACTTAAAAAACTTAAATTTAAGAGAAGACATGGTGCATAATAGGAAAGAATGGAAAAAGAGAATTCATGTGGCCGACCCCATTCATGTGGGATATAGGCAAGGATGAAGATGATGATGATGATTCATTTATAAAATAAAAAATAAAAACGACGGACAAGTATTTTATGAATGTTTCAAATAATTTATCTTTCTGGCTTATAATATTATTAATTACATGAAAAAACTTGATAGTTTTGTTGCATGGACATGAATTTTGGACTACATTAGACATGGTATATCATGCTTTTCTCGACAATTATACTATGATATCATAATACAAAGGCTGCATTTTAATGTTCAAGATGCGTGTATTGGATGTGCTCAAACAGAAAATTTTATTTCAAATTATGAATACACTTAGAAAGTACAGAGTGATTGATAATCTTTTATGAAATAAATTAACAGAATATGAAGCATATAGAGAGAGTGACTGATAATCTTTTGTGAAATAAATTCACAGTTGATGGAACAAAATAAAAGCTAATAATCAAATAAATTAAGAAGAGTAGGAGAGGTTTTATTCCATTTAATAAGATTCTTGCGAACACATGCTGTTGATAGTTCATCAATATTTAATTCTGGATAAAATATGTGATTATTCAATTAAATGCATTTGGTTATACAATTTGGATATAATTTTAAAGAATAAGTTTCTCTTAAAGTGGAGTTTACTTTTAAGTGATGGAAACATCACAACATTACACACTTTCAAACAGGTATTAAAGGAGTTTTCTATTTTCATTCAACACGTGAAGTTCATTCCTACAGATTTTCAGTGCTTATTTAAGTTCATCAAACAACATTGGAAAACAAAGACACGGTGGTTGAAAATTCTCTGATATTTGATGAAGATTTTTTTTGGAGTTGTTAAATTACTAGTGTGGCTAGTGAAATAGACCCAATCGAGTGCTTAGAGCGGATGCCACGGAGCTTATTTTCTGTCTATTATTCTTGTTCAATTACCATCATATCCTTAAGCGACTATGCCTAACAAAGGAAAATGAAACTTGCAAAAGGTCCCAAAACATGCTGAAACACCCTGAAACATCTGCAACAATACAAAAGTCCGGAAGTTTTTCTAAAATGAAATAAGTGTAGTTTGTCGTTTTTTATTTAGTAAAATGAAACGTTTTGGCCTACTTCACCCGACACGAGACGGATTTTATAAATATAGCTGTGTAGGACACATTTAAGTTGTTACTATTGTTACACTTTGCCATAGGTTACAGCATTTATAAACCTGCTGTAGTTGTGTAGGAAGCATGTATTCTGCAACAAGGTGTATGCATTATAAATGTACTGTAAGTTGCTATTTTTCAATTCAACTCCACCTTCGCCTGCATTTTCAGCTTCTTCGTCCTGGATAGTTGCTGGGTGTTGTTTTCTCTTAAATGCAATTCAATGTTGAAATCCAAAACATTGCACATAGCTGATGGTTATTATCATTATTGTTAGATATATATTCCCTGGTTTCTGTTGCTGAACTTGAGTTATTAACTGACGGATTACTAATTTATGCATTTGCTAACAGAGAGAATTGCAGTCTTTCATTTCCTCGTAGAGTCTTTGTTCCTTGGTTGGCGGGTACATATATCTGTGATTACTTACAGCCATCTGAGACACTTGAGGTTTGTAATCACAACTTAATGAACAAAACATCTTGTCATCTGCTTTATAGGAATGGAACATTAGAAGCTAAACATTATTGCATGCTGTTCTTGTAGACTTTATAAAGCTAGTTGAAGGAATGAATAGTCCATTACACTTGAGAAAACATATCATTAGTAATTTATTTTTACCATCATATATGGTATGCTCATTGTTCTGTACCTTCTATCAGCACTAGAAAGTACATGGCAGAAATTAATGGATATGTTTCATGCCTTTTCCACCCCAGATTACACGCTAGTATTTGATTGATCTCATTCAACAACGATCACACTTGTTAATAATAGTAATAATGACGGTGATCATTTATCAGCCTTTCTGACCACCATTGGCGTTAATTGTTGCGACTTCTGTAAAGTTGCAACTTTCCCCTCCTTTTAGAGTTAAAGGTATTAGAATTGTATACTGTGACCTCACAGAGCTAGCTTTTAACTTTTAAGTAACCAAAAAACAATGTAGTAATTAAATCTATTTTTTCCTCCTGGGCCAGTAAATTAAATCTTATTTTGTAAAATATTTGACTTGCCGTTCAGGATGAATAAATTATAATTGCACTCCCATCATTAATGTAGTTGTTCTGAGAATAATAGCATTTATTTATCGCTGATTTTGCATCTTATGTGCACCAGGTTCTCAAAGATCACTGTGTTGAGTTGATGGCCATGGAAGCTCCGACAGATGCTTCAACAATCCTGGAACCAGAAATAGTAGCCCGCACTTTGTCCGCCGAATCCTTTTGGGATGTGGCAGTTCCCTTCTCTTCAACATCTAGTCGGGATTGCTCGACTTCAAAGAAGAGCATAACTGATACAAGCAAGGGAAGTGAGAGGAAGTCTATGAAGTCCCCTGATTTTAATATCATGGCTGCCATTGTAATTCTTATCCTTTCTATTTTAATAGGATGGGTGCTGTTTGTAGTCAGGGCATCATAGTTTACAAGTGAAGATTCATCTGGGAGTTTATTTAGTTCTTCAATTATTATTATTATTATTATTATTATTATTTTCTATAAGCTCATGTATGTGTTCATTTCACACTGTTAATAAGATTAATATAAAAACAAGTCTTTTCTTTCTCTGAACACTGAACTCTTGGCAACTGCATGATCAGGCTTTTCCAGTTCTTCACATTTAACCAATCTATATAGGTTCTTTTGGTGATGCCTGTGAAATTTGTGATTTTGTTGAGACCAGTTTGATTCAAATTGCACTACATGACAGCCTACAGCTATATGCGTGAATTTTACTGATCACTCTATATATTTCCTAGTTGGTAAACGTGCACACATGCCTTTATCGAGGCTTGAACCCTTATCTCCCTTTGGGAGGTAAGAGCTTGATACTGCTAGATCACTAGCCGTTGGTCACTCTAAGAATATTTATCTTGTAATAAATTAATAAAATTAATAATGATCATCCATGCATTCCTTTTGTTCTTTAATCATGATCAATCACAATGAAAAACCAGAAGCTTTACTACATCATCTTTCATGTTTATAGAAAGCATGTAATTTCATTATTCAGTTTCCAATATCTGTAGATACACGGTAATGAATTCTCAAAAAGTGGAACAAGAAAACTTGCATAAAACTAACAATCCGAAATCCAGGTGACCCTTAAGGTAACAAGAAAACTCGTATAAAACTAACAACGGGCAGTCTTTTAATTCATATGGTAGTGTACTAAGAAACATAGGTTGATAATCATCTAAAAGAATCGAATACCATATTACTTTTACATGCCTTTTTTATCCAACCTTATAAATAAAAAAAATTGGAAATGCCTAAAGAAAATGGCATTCATATTATAAGATGGAACTATGGCAGCAGATCATTTTGGAGAGGTATATCATGATGAATATCAGCTCCAGTATCCCTATTTCCCACCATTACCAAAGATGTTTATTTAGCCAAGCTAAAATAAAATGAATGAGAAATTCTGCCACAAATTGCAGAAAAGGAAATTCCAAGTTTGGGATTTATTTAGATCTATGCATAGATCAAAAGATTCCGAAAGTGAAGATGGTGAGAAAGGGCAAAATTGGTCCCACCAATTAAGAAATGATATATCCGTTATCCATTCAAAACCATTGGAGGAACTTCGTAACATTTGATTTCTGTGAGTAAGTGTTGTTGTATGATAGCATGTGGATTGATCAAGATATGGCCTCATATAGAGCGGAATGAAAACATAGGATTCATATAGCCTCTGCTCAACTATCAGTGGATGGTATGGTATTAATATAAATAAAAAGTTTTTTCACACTCAATTTCTTTAGAGATGGAACAACAATACTAGACAACTTTTTGTGGCCAAAGAGAAATACTTAAAAGAAAAATTTTCAGAATTTTTTCTTAAAACGAGAAAAAAGAAATGCATATCTGAACTTGAATTGACTATTTTCAAGGCTAGTTGGTTGGTTGGTTGGTTGTTAGTGTTTGGATGAGATCAGCCAGCACACATATCCAGTTATTCAGTATCAATTGAAACTAAAGAAGCCAACAGAACACCTACTTTTTGCACATTTCACTCTTCACCAAAGGATGACAATCTTTTCCAAATGCACTTAGCGTATGAATCAAGAACCCACTGTGGGTAACAACTGCGATCTCCCTCTCTTTCCTTGTCCACAACCTAGACCACATTTTCCAAAAAAATAAATATTAAGACAACAGGAAGAAAAATTGCAAAGGATCCTGTCACAGACTCACAGCCCTCATTTGCTGTTTAACAAGTAGCCAATGGTTGTAATAAATGTCTAGGCACACATATTATTCAACAGAAATTACGGTAAGGCAATACATGAAAAAAAAAAAAAAAAAAATGGGGAATGCCAAGAGATCATGCGAAATTGTGAAACAGTCTCATGCATGCATGCATTGCATTTCCACTAATTAGTATACTGACCTTGCACCCCATTCAGAGCCTTTCACGCATGAAACAGTCTCATGCATGCATGCATTGCATTTCCACTTGATCTGCCAATCTCCAGGAGAGCACACAAGGCATGAAAACACACACACAATTAAGAAAGCAAGTTAAACACATGGCCGTTACTGGTTAAGGTCATTTGAGGACTTCTCAGCAGGGAATTTCTCCTTTTCACTTTTTCAAGAAAATAAAAATGTTGTTTTCTTGATGCAATATTGAAGACAACCAAGGGTGTTTTGGACATTTGAAGAGAAAGTTTGTTGCTGTTTGGACCTTATAAATAACAATCAACCTTTCAGCTCTTTCAAACAAGTCATCAAAGCTCAGAAGACCTCATCTTGCAGGTAAATGCATGACCAAATTTTCATATATACATCACTTGTATATTTTCTACTGTATGACCAAATTTGTATATATGCATCACTTGTACTCTCTCTCACTCTCTCTCTCTCTCTCACACACACACACACACACACAAACATACACATTATAATTACAAATAATAAGTGGCTAGACATAGATGCTGTTACAACCATTTAGTAGTATGACAGTGTGTGCTCTAACACAATGTTTCATACGAAAGAAATATAAATTAGTAATTTTTTTTCAATTTTTTTTTTGGGAAATTTATTTATTTATTTTTCAAAAAAATAGTGTTTAATTTTATATACACTTATATAGTGGGTAATTTCTAAAGTAAGGAATGGAGAATCACCAAGAACTAGAATGGGCTGAAGCACAAAGGACTGCAATAAGCGAAGACCTTGTCACGGCAGCCAAGCAGCAGCTACAGTTTCTTGCAGCCATTGATAGGAACCGCCACCTCTATGATGGCCCTGCATTGGACCGTGCCATATATAGGTAAGCACCCCAACAAATTAACTTATTTTTTGTTCGAGAAAAAAAAAAAAAAAAAAAAATCTTATTTTTTGACTTCTAAATCTAATTAGAAATAAATATCCTGGAGGGAATTTTATATTTTCCCCTATATTCTCAAATTTTAAAAAGTTTAATGCATAAATAAAAGCAATAGTTTTAATGCACTTAAGGTGCAATGTCACATAAATATATGGTAGTTATTGTAGGACCAAAAGACCAGAGTAAGAACTTCTGAAGTCTTATATGTATGCATTTATAAGGCAAATAGTCCTTGGTTATATACAATTATTTATAATATCCATTTATTTGGAGGTTCATAGATTTAAGTTGTGTTTTTACAAATATATGCAATTTTCAGGTACAAATTCTTTTGGCTTCCCTTACTAGCCAAGCATTCTGAGTCTCAGTTTTCGGAAGGCCCTTTAGTTGTGCCTCTTGATTGTGAATGGATCTGGCATTGTCACAGGCTCAATCCGGTACGAGAACATACACATATGATTTAATTCTTGTGACATGGGACTTTTGTGCTAAGTTTACTGATTCTCAGGTACGCTACTTGACCGATTGCAAAGAACTATATGGAAGGATCATGGACAATCGGAATGTTGTATCCTCTGTTCATGGGACTTCCAAGAGGCAAACTGAAGAAATCTGGAACATGATGTATCCGAATGAACCATATGAGCTCGATTTGAGTGGCAACATGGAAACTGTTGCTGAAAATAAAGTGGGAGCTTCAAAAAGCACCAAGTATGATCTAGTTTCAGCTGTCAAAAGGCAAACTCCTTTCTACTTCCAGGTAACAATATAGTTTTTTAAATTCTCTTTATAACAATATGGAAGATCTACACAACCATATCTAATTAACGAACTTGAATACGTGTTTTATTGATTAGCTTCATCATATATTTCAAGTCTAAACATAGCTGTTCACTCTTGATTTTTGCTTAGTAAAGTGATTGTCATCTTTTTCAACCGCGCCATCCTTCCATCTCTCCAATTGATTTACCTACTTTGTGTGTGTGTGTGTAAATATGTCAACAGGTTTCCAGACCATGGATGAAGGATGATTGGTTTCTTGAAGGAGCTTTGGCACGATACAAGGGGTTTCTACATTTGATCAAAAGAAACGGAGAGAGGAACATTAACTGCTTCCTTGTGCCAACTTATGATATTGACCTTATTTGGCACTCTCACCAATTGCATCCTGTTTCTTACTGTAAAGATCAAGTGGCAATACTCGGCAAGGTGCTACAGCATAACGACACAGATTCTGATAGGACTAAAGGTAAGAAGCTCGATGTTGGATCCAGTGAAACCGCCAAGCAGTGGGATGAGGCATTTGGTTCGAGATACTGGAGGGCAGGGGCGATGTATAGAGGCAGTGCTCCATCTCCTCTCACCATCAACTTGTGCGCATTAAGCAATGTGGGCAAGAAGCTGGTTCAGTCCATTAAGTACCAAGATATGATTCAATTACCCAAGAAAATGCTTGTGGAGGTAGCTTCGAATACCATCTATTTTATTTTCAACACAACAAAATTAAAATTTAGACTTCGAGAGGAAATGCTAATTCAAGGCCAAAGAAAAGCATCTACATGTTCGCGTGCACACAAATAAAAATATAGTTGCTTATATAACCTTAGCTTTCTAATAAAATCTGTCAGACATGAAGGATAATGAAGTTATGCCTTCAAATTCAAAGGGCATGTTATGGTGCCATTTGATATTCTGTGAGATTAATCATCTCGGCTAAGCTTTATGCAGCATAAGGAGATTAATCCTGAAATGATCCTCAAAATTACTTAATTGAAGTTGTTCTGCCTGTGCAAAGAGTACATTTTTTTCGTTCTTGAACGGTTTTAAACAAATTTATTCTTCCTGCTTATGTTTGAATATGAATTTAATGTTAACTTTAGTTATAATGTTTGTAGTTCTTTTTCTTTAATTGTCATTCAGGTTATGCTGGAGATTATCGGTGTCAGAAACTTGCCGGCTGGGCATACAGGAAGCCTCATCCTCTACTTCAATAAGAAACAGCCTGATCTGCTCTTTAACACCAGGAGAAGGTTAAACATTTCATGTGAATCAGGGAAGAAACAGGTTGCGGCTTTCCAATGCGAACCAAGTGGAGAACTGCTTATTGAACTCGTGTCCTATTCAGGGTTACAAAAAATGTTGGGGACTACCTTGATCTCCCTACAGGACCCCAATTCGGTTTCCAAACTATCGGTGGAAAATTGGTTCGAGTTGGTTCCAGATTCTGGAATTGTGGGTTCTAAGCCGATTAGTCTGCAGATTGCTCTCTCTTTTACTACTCCATTTCCGGCACCATATGATCTGCACATGGCTTTGGCACATCGATTCTCGATAAGTTCTTTCTCACCACTAAGTACTGAAAAGCTTCAACATGCTAAGAGTTGGACATGTATTGTAAATGAGGCTGGTAATGAGATCATCAACATCCAGATGAGGTGCATGGAACTCTAACTCATAATCATAAACTACTAGAAAATACTTATGATTTCATTGCAGATGTCTACATGGAACAAACATTAAGATGAGAAAATTCAAGTTCAAGCTACGTACTTGGTTATTTGAATTCGCATTTCCATCAAAGGCATATCAATATATGTTTCTGGAATATTAGGCTCTACTCTCCAGGACAACATTCTCTGTCGTCTTCTAAATTTATGAATCCAGATATCTCAACTGAGCCTTATGATCAAGATCATCTCAACATTCTATTAGACTGTCTTACCTACTCACCTTTGTTGCGCGCGCGCGCGCGCGCGCGCACACACACACGGGTTTCTTTGAATAGGGACTTCTAATGCAAATCATGAGCCCCACCAAAATTCTGAATTCACTTGTTTACCTCTTGAATGTATGTTCAGGGACCCGAAAAGATCGGAGGGGGCAAAAAATCGCATTTCCAAGAAAGAAGTAATCGGCATGACAGGATCTGGTGAAACGCGTGTTCTTGCAGAGTTTGTAGGAGAAGGATGGTTGCTGATGGGCTCTCAATGGTTTTTTCAACTTCAGAAGAAAGTTAGTGAGGAAGATTATATGTTTGGGCTCATAGGCAATCGAAAGGTTAAGAGTTTATATATACCATTTTTCGCTTAATTTTACAAGCTTGAAATAAGTAAAATGTCTCATTTTAAGGCTCAACTCAAGTTGAAAATGCGAATTATGAAAAAGAGTGAAGCAAATTACCTTGAAAACCATATCGTGAAGGGTCCATTTCACTTACTTATTGATGAATTTTTGCCTCAGATGGTCATTTTTCGTGGAAGGAAACTAGACTATGAACTCAACTACTGTAGGAAGGAGAAAAATGAAAGGGACTTCATGACCATAGTTGAATTTTCTGAAGAAAATCCTTATGGAAAAGCAGTGGCTTTGCTCAACTTGGAAACCGGTTTTCTCAAGGTACATTGCATATGTTGTTTCTTTATTTTCTCATTCATAAGATCAAACTTGAAGCTAATACTAATTTAGTTGATTCGGGTGATTGATGAACAGGTTGAGGAACAATGGCTTGTATTGCCTGGAATCACAGTGGCTTTTATACTTTCTGACATCTTAAAGAAAGAGGGCTATGATTGTTTCACTTCCAAAATAGAGAATTCAAGAGAAACAGATGGTACTTTTGACAAGGATGTTGAAGTGATGCTAAAAGGTGGTTGTGGCCATGAAAATATGGCGAAGTGCTTTAGTGGATGGAATAAAACTGGTAGTTGCGGTGGCTGTGGAGTTAGCTGTGGTGGTGGAGGAAGTTGTGGAGGAGGAAGTTGTAGGAGTGATGCTGATGGCAATGATAAAATGATGAAGAGCAATAACTCTAGTGGCTGTGCTGCTGGCTGCGGCGCCACTTGTGTTGAGGATTAAAACTGGTCCATGTGGTGGCTACTGCGGTTGTGGTGGTGGTGATGGCGGTGGCTGTCATGGAGGAAGTTGTGGAAATGGTGGTGGTTTTCACAACTATTTAGCATAGGGTGTGATGCAGATGAGGAAATTGCCACAAAAAATATCATGTCCCATGAAGTTCTGAATTTCAATAAGCTAAAAATGCAACCTTTATGTACTTACTAGTTACTACTATTGCAGTAATAATGAATTTGTTTACATAATAATGCAATTATAGTAGTTACTAAAAGTGATGATGTATGAAGCTCTCAATTTTATTTTATTCTATATATTTTATTGTTATTATAGTATTTTAATCCCGGCAAATTAGGGGAGGGGAGTCAAACACGGATACTGTTGACGCTAAAATCGGTTTCTAAAATCCGATCTTAATTTGATGTAAACCGAGCGTGCCAGAACCAAATATTACTTAAATCGAAGTTGTTCAGCCTGTGCAAAGAGTACATTTTTCGCTCTTGAATGATTTTAAACAAATTTATTCTTCCTGCTTATGTTTGAATATGAATTTAATGTTAATTTTAGTTTTAATGCGCGCGCACACACACACTCAGGTTTCTTTGAATAGGAAATTCTAATGCAAATCATGAGCCCCACCAAAATTTTGAATTCACTTGTTTACCTCTTGAATGTATGTTTAGGGACCCGAAAAAATCAGAGGGGGCAAAAAACAGCATTTCCAAGAAAGACGTAATCGGTATGACAGGATCTGGTGAAACGCGTGTTCTTGCAGAGTTTGTAGGAGAAGGATGGTTGCTGATGGGCTCTCAATGGTTCTTTCAACTTAAGAGGAAAGTTAGTGAGGAAGATTGTATGTTTGGGCTCATAGGTAATTGAAAGGTTAAGAGTTTATATATACCATTTTTTGCTTAATTTTACAAGCTTGAAATAAGGAAAATGTCTAATTTTATGGCTCAACTCAAGTTGAAAATGCGAATTATGAAAAAGAGTGAAGCAAATTACCTTGAAAACCATATCGTGAAGGGTCCATTTCACTTACTTATTGATGAATTTTTGCCTCAGATGGTCATTTTTCTTGAAAGGAAACTAGACTATGAACTCAACTACCGTGGGAAGGAGAAAAATGAAAGGGACTTCATGACCATAGTTGAATTTTCTGAAGAAAATCCTTATGGAAAAGCAATGGCTTTGCTGAACTTGGAAACCGGTTTTCTCAAGGTACATTGCATATGTTGTTTCTTTATTTTCTCATTCATAAGATCAAACTTGAAGCTAATACTAATTTAGTTGATTCGGGTGATTGATGAACAGGTTGAGGAACAATGGCTTGTATTGCCTGGAATCACAGTGGCTTTTATACTTTCTGACATCTTGAAGAAAGAGGGCTATGATTGTTTCACTACCAAAACAGAGAATTCAAGAGAAACAGATGGTACTTTTGACAAGGATGTTGAAGTGATGCTAAAAGGTGGTTGTGGCCATGAAAATATAGCGAAGTTCTTTAGTGGATGGAATAAAGCTGGTAGTTGCGGTGGCTGGGGAGTTAGCTGTGGTGGTGGAGGAAGTTGTGGAGGAGGAAGTTGTAGGAGTGATGCTGATGGCAATGATAAAATGATGAAGAGCAATAACTCTAGTGGCTGTGCTGCTGGCTGCGGCGTCACTTGTGTTGAGGATTAAAATTGGTCCTTGTGGTGGCTACCGCGGTTGTGGTGGTGGTAATGGTGGTGGCTGTCATGGAGGAAGTTGTGGAAATGGTGGTGGTTTTCACAACTAATTAGCATAGGGTGTGACACATATGAGGAAATTGCCACAAAAAATATTATGTCCTATGAAGCTGAATTTCAATAAGCTAAAAATGCAACCTTTATGTACTTACTAGTTACTACTATTGCAGTAATAATGAATTTGTTTACATAATAATACAGTTATAGTTGTTACCAAAAGTGATGATGTATGAAACTCTCAATTTTATTTTATTTTATATATTTTATTATTATTATAATATTTTAATCCCGACAAATTAGGAGAGGAGAGTCAAACACAGATACACCCGCTCGGATAGCTGATCGCTCTACAACTAAATTATTGGGTAATGCTCATGAAGCTCTTGAGTAAGCTAAATAATCTCTCTTCCTATTTTTTTTTTTTTTTTTTCCAGAATAAAATAGTCTACATTAAAGAGCAAAAACATTACAATCATCATTTAGAGAAGCAAGAAGCCATTGGGGATAGACATCCCAATCAACTTCCCCACTCTGATTTTGAAATGCAAACCTACTTAAACAGTGAGCAACCTTATTACAGGACCTTAGACACCAACTCAAAACCCACTTAGGATGAAACTTAAGCAGATGTTTAATGTCATCACAAACCATGGCAGCAAGACAATCAACTGGAGTCAAAGCAACAACCCCTTTGCAGTCACCTTCAATAATAATCTCTTCAACATAAACCCATTGTAACAGTAACTTTAAACCTTCCCGAAACATCACCGCTTCAACCATCTCTGCATTCCCCACATACTACATCACAGTGGTAGCAACCTTAACAACTCTTCCATGAGAGTCTCGCAACACAAAACCCCCACCATAAAAGGATTTCCCTGACACAAAGGATCCATCAAAATTTAACTTCAACTTTCGACTATCTAGAGCAATCCATTTCTGAACCAGATTAGAAGGGTCATCCAGATTTGAACTTGGCAACTCCATGGCATTATCTTGAAAAGAAAACCCTTGAAACTCATAAAAATTAAACATAATTTTATCGAGAATTTTAGAAGGTTCCCATCTAACCCCATTAAAACACCAAGAATTTCTAGCCTTCCATAATTGCCAACAAATAAAAGCCCCCAAACTTAACAAATCAGCATAATTTTCCAGTTGAGACCAAAGACAATTCAAGCGGATCTACACTTGCTTCCAAGAAATTTGAGTTTCATCACCAAAATCAAAATGTAGAAGACTAGCTTTCCATACAACCTTTGCAACAGGGCAGAAACAAAAAAAGATGAGCTATAGTTTCCTCTCTCCCCCTGCACAAATTACATTCTGCACACTCCACTAAACCTCGAGAAAATAGATTCTCTCGTGACAGCACTGCCACATGAAAAATTGAATCTTCCTAAGAGTTTGTAACTTCCAAATACCCTTCTATAAAGGAATAAACTCCTGCTCAATGCTACTGCAAGACCTTCTGTCATCAGATCGGGGACAATCAACCAAATCCAAAGCTACCTTATAAGCACTTTTCACAGTAAATTGGCCATCAGAAGTCGGACCCCAAACTTTCTTATCCGATCCACCAAAATTATAAATAGGAATTTTAAGGATCAGCTTTGCATCTCGATCATTAAAAATACGCTTTACTAAAATCTCATTCCAAGTCTTAGTATCATGAAACATCAACTCAGAAACTTTAGAAATATGACTACCATTTTGATTAGAAGAAACTGTAGGAACATTGGGATCAAGTAACCAGTTTTCCTTCCAACAATTTACTGCCTTCCCATCTCCTATACGCCAGCGCAAAGCTTTAGCAACAACACCTTTTACACTAAAAATACTTCGCTAAACCTAGGAAGTTCTAGAACCACAGCCAGATTCCAAAAACCTCCCTCTAAGAAAGTACTTTTGCTTAAAAATCCTGATAAGTAAAGAGTTATCCCCTACTTCAAACCTCCAAGCAAATTTAGCCAATAAAGCCATATTGAAAGCTTCTAAATTCTTGAAACCCAAACCCCCTTCAGCTTTGGAAGCACACATCGTCTTCCAGCTAATCCAACATACTTTTGATTTTTTCAGGGATCCACTCCACCAAGAAGAAATTAACTGACTTCGAATTTGTTCACACAGCTGAATATGAATTTTAAAACACTGAATAGCATAGCTTGGCAAAGAAGCCAAAACAGAAGACAATAACACTTCCTTTCCTGTTTTTGATAACATCTCCCCTTTCAAAACTTGAGCTTTAGCCCCAATCTTCTTAGATAAAAACTTCAATGATGCTAATTTAGAGCGCTCAAAAATAGTAGGTAACCCCAGGTACTTGTTAACCCACCCTGCTTCTTGAATCCCCATAATATGTCGCAAATTTTCTTTTAACTCTTCACAAGAATTAGAGCTAAAGAAAATACCATATTTTTCATAACTTACCATCTGCCCTGAAAGCACTTCATAAATGGATAAAATGGATTTTAAAGTTACAGCTTCAAAAACATTTGCCCTGCAAAATAGTAGCGCATCATCAACAAAAAACAAACGAGTGAAAAGATCAACCCCTCTACCAATTGAAACTCCATAGAGATGCCGTTGCGCTACCGCCTGTTGTAAGAGTAAAGAGAATCCCTCGGTACATAGAAGGAAAAGATAAGGGGAAAGAGTATCGCCTTGTCGAAGACCTTTTGAAGGTTGAAACAAACTTCCACTCTTCCCATTAATCAACACTGAAAAAGAAACGGTTCGGACACAACACATAATCACTTGGATCCATTGCTCTGCAAAACCTATCTTTGCCATCAACCTGTGAATAAAATCCCATTCGACCCTATCATAGGCTCTGGCCATATCCAATTTTAAAGACATAAAACTTGTCTTCCCTTCGGATTTAACCTGTAAATAATGAAGAACTTTATAGGCCAACATCACATTATCATGAATAAGCCGTGAGGGAACAAAAGCACTTTGATTTTCAGAAATTAGAGCCGGAAGAAAAGGCTTCAACCTATTAGCCAACACTTTTGAATAAATTTTATAAATAACATTACAGAGGCTAATTGGGCAAAATTGGGTTATCCGTGTAGGATTTCTCACTTTGGGAATCAAAGAAATATGAGTGTGGTTCATACTCTTGGGAAGGATAGCAGTGGTTAAAAAAGAATTAAAACCATTCACTAAATCAGCTTTAACAACATTCCAGTTAGATTGAAAAAATAAAGGCGTAAACCCGTCAGTTCAAATAATAATATAGTTTTAAATTCTTTTACATAACGATGCACTTACCATTGTGTGGATGGAAAATACTTCCCCAGCAATAAAAGAATGACACGCGAGTATGAGAGGGGACCACCATATATATATATATATGAAGACTATTCAACTTCTAACTTGGGCTAATATGAATAGTGGGCCAGGTTAACCAAGTACAGTGGGCTAGACTCATTAAGAATGCCCGAGCAAATAGGACTTCAAGCCCAATTACTAATATACATTATAAACTCATTTTTTGTAATAGTTTTATTAAAAAAAGGATTACTATACAAGGAAACTAGAGGAAGGATTACTATCCAAAGAAACTGAATCATGTAAATCAGGTGAGGGACAAGCACTGCCAGTCCTAAAAGGACTCAACCATTTAAGATTTATTATAAATAGATGCCAAGACCTCGAATAAAAGATATACATAATCAATAAAAGCTTAAGCTTTGAGTTATTAGTTCTTTTTATTTGTTAATATGCAGCAATTAGAAGCCTAGCCTATTAGGTTTCATATCTTAAACTATCCAGAGGAGTTCTTGTCTAAAAAACAGGACCACAAAAAATTGCCTTCATACAAGAAAAAGAAAATATTAAGTGTCGTCAACTAGTGAAGTCTTAATTACTTGAATTTTCTTTTATTTTTTATTTAAAATATATGGAAATGTTTTAAGTAGTATTTCAGATTGAGTTAGGGCACTTAATTGAATAATCATTTAATATATCTAAAATTAAGTACTGAATTGAGTATTTCAAATCATTTAACATTATCTAAAATTACTCTTTAAGAAGTTTTCTGAATATTTCTTAGGTGTAGTATTAATTTTAAAATTTATTTTTATATGGTAAATAAAATATCAATTTCATCATGTAAATTTTCATAACAACAAAATTTATAAAACATTAATATAAATAATAATAATATAATAAAATAGATTATTGCACTCCACAGTTGTTCAAAGTCCACCTTTGAGGGATGATTATGTCATTTCTTTGATTAAAAAAAAAAAAAAATTATAGTGGAATGTGAAATATTTTTGGGTAGTGTCACTAGTGTTAGTATAACTTCCGTAATAATAAAAATAAATAAAATTACAAACAAAATAACTGTTCAAATAAAAAAATAAAAAACTACTTTAATATAGTATGATTTCCTTTTTGAAAAAAACCTTTCATCCAATTGAATCAAAACTTATGTTCAGATTTCTAATAATTATCGTATTAGACTGATCCATTTTTCGGGTGATTTAACAACAATTGGACCGGATCTATTTATTTTCGAATTGGGCTTGGTTTTGGGCTAAACCTTTATAGTTCTTATTTCATCGGCCCAACACCAATTACCGATCTGAACGAACACAACGTTTATCACACAGTATACAATCAAAAAACTGAAAAAATTGTTCGATTTGTTGTTGTAAAGACTGATTGCTGAGAGAATCAATAATGGTGAAAGCTGTGATCGGAGAAGAAACCCAACTCAAATTGGCCGAAGATCGCCTCAGCCAATCCGCTGTCCCCTCTCAGGTCTCTCTCTCCTCTCTCTCTCTGTATATGTAATTGTATACACTCATACATGTATGTTATTGATAATTGGGGATTCTAAAATGAGCGTTTTATTCTGACACAGGTGGGTCTTGTAATAGGGAAGCTTAGTTCGTCGTTGGACCGGGGTTTTGTGTTCGATTTGATTCCAACACCTCCAAACGATGCTGGTGAGCCAGCTTGTTCAATTTTGGAGAGTGTCAGAGATGACAAGAGAAAGGGAACGAAAGCAAAATCTGCTGCCGAATCTTCATCGTTGGTCATCGACAAAGATTGGGTCGTCGAACACGCTCGTCAGGTCTAATCTCTTCTATATATTTATATATACATACATATATATAATTACATTCGCAGAAACACACAAATTGTAGTTTACATTTGTATCTCAGTTAAATTTGTGTATATAATTGAAATTCTGAATCCAGTGTATATACACACGTAATTTCTAAAAGAAAAGAAAAAGAAATGTATCTTCTATTGTTCATTAGGCAATTTATAATTTATTTTGAAATTTTAAATAAGGGGTAATCTGTTTTTCATACTTATTTTTTTGAACGACCCTCACCCTTAAGCATGCTTAACTCCGGAGTTTTGATAGGTTAACGGCTTTAAAATGCGATGTGTAGGATGATGAACCTACATATAGCACTTCATTCTTCCACACCCGTGGGAATTGTGAGCACATGTGGTTCACACTAGAGGCTTGTCTCTCACAGGCCTGCTCCCGCCCACCGAGCCTCACAATTTTTTTTTTTCTTTCTATTTTCGTATTGCTTTCTATTCCATTATACACAATTGTGTTCATAATAGGAAGGACGTGTCTAAATCTGTTGAACATTTCAAATGGCTTCAATCACCTGATTTTGTGAGGATCAAAGCTGTTTATTTGCATTGAATTTGCTGTCTATGTCATTTGTAAGGTTGTAACTGAGCTGAGCTGAGTAGTCGGTTGCTGAGCTTGGGTAAAATAGTTAACGAGCTTCAGATTATGATCAAGCGTGTCTTGTTCATCTCAGTGATGATCTTGAGTGAGTCTCTAACCAATCTGATGTCAAGCCAAACTCAAGTGCTTATTAAGCTGAGTTTGGTTTGAGCATTTTAAATTAATGAGTTCGAGACTATGATTAAGATTGCCCCAGTTATCTCATGAGTTCATTTCAAACGAGAACTAAGATTATTGCAAGCAAGCTCGAGCAGCTGCTTTCTTTCACAGTTCTACGTATCTGCCCGAGAAGGAGAAAAAATAAAAAATAAAAAGAAAATCAGAAGGTATTTTACTTGTAATATGGGCTTTTATTGGGTGTTTTAGTATGTTACTAATAATGTGCCATCCGTCCATTGTCTTTATACCTACTTAAAGTGATTATTTAAGTTTGGTGCTTGTGTTATCTTTAACTTACATTACATGTTGATGTTATTGTTCTATAATTTTTCAATATTGCCATCTTATGTAGCATTCAGTTGTACAAATATGGTCCGAATTTAAGTTCGTACTCAGAATTTAGCAGTTTCATAATTTGATTATGTATGTTCAGGTCTCGAGAATGCTATTAGGTGGCATGAAGGTGGTCGGCATCTATATATGGGTCAACGAAAGCACATTCAAGAATTCTACCCCAATACTCTGCCAGGTGTTATATTCACTATAAATGGATTACGTTTGTGTCTTTGTGTCTCTTGCTTTAATTTGAATGTGAACAAAACTAAATAATTCACTTCTCCAAATTTAGGCCAGTCCAGGTCTGGCCTGTCTCAAGTTCATGTAGTCTCTGTTCTTATTAAGTGCTGAGAAATGGAAACCTACATGTGACTAAAATGATAATCACATTATTGGCTCTTTCTTAATTGGTGTAGAACTTTTGCTTTAATTAGCACTCATGGGAACTCAATATGCCTCCAACTTGGGTGAAATTTCTGCGTTTATTTATAAATACTGAGCAGATCTATTGTCAATTGTAATTGTTCTTGCAGGCTGTGAAAGGAGTTGCAGAAGCAGCACCCTTACTCCAGACGGATGGGGATGAGAGACTGCTTATTCACATTAGTTATAGTCCAAGGAGGTGACTATTGAAGTTCATTTTCATTTTCATTTTCATCCAAATGAATTCCTTCTATTAAAACATTGATAAAATAATAATAATAATAATAATAAGTAATTAATTAATTAATTGTGTAGATGGACATGCCGAAATTGCACACTGGCTTCAAATATTACATCAAGCAATCTACACCCTTGTGATTTCAAAATGGGACGGGTCTTAAATTCCCTTCAAAAGTTTAGTTGCACGTACAACTTTGATATGAGGTAACTGTTGTATTTGCATTTACATTGGAAAACTCTTTATTTTTTTTCCTTATAATTGGAAAGCTCCTTATAATTTTTAAATCATGACATTGTTCATCATATATAGCAACTTGATGAGTTTGTTTGCTTTGGTTCTCTGTGGCCTTTGTTTTACTTTTGTTAGTTGTCTAAGGGATGTCATAACCAAGATACATACCAATGGGATGGAAAACAAAATATATCTTTTGCGTATCCACCCAGTTTGTCAACCTTTTGGGAAATGATACAAAAAAAACCAAGATATGTTTTCAGATACCGCTATACAATTAAAACCCGTCTTTGCTACAAGGTTATATATGAGAGAGAGAGAGAGAGAGAGAGAGAGAGAGAGAGAGACAGAGAGAGAGTTCTGTTGTTTGTACCAAGTATCAAGTTGTAATATGAGTTATCTAATTAATTAATTTGATAAATCTTGAACTTAGTTGTATTTTAATTACATAATGAATGGGGAGGCTATCTTATTTAGAAAATTATATATAGGGTACACATGAAATACTAAGTGAGAACATGGGTTAACTTTGTTTTGAGCCAAATCTTACAACTTTGAAAATAGTGAAGCGGTGTGCCTAGGTTCAATTTCGGCAACACTGCCTTTTAGACATTAATACTTTGTTTTTTAGGTGCAATCAAATTACTATCAAGTAGAAACACTATATGATAATGGTACAAAATAGATGATTCTGAAATTCATGAATGATAATTTAGAAGGGGAGCATCTAGGGGTGACAATTTGTGTTGGCCAGTCATAATCGTGTCCTGTCGTGTCGACCTTATAGTATTCTGTTATAGAGGTTATCTAACCCGTTTTAATAATCATGTCAGGAACTCTTGATACAAATACGACTCCTTTTAATAAATTAGTCGTGTAACTCACAACATGACATGACCTATTTAATAACCTATTTAACCCGTTTAAATTAAATGAGTCATCTAACTCGTTTATTAACCTTTTTATTAAGTATAAATGCAAATATAATGGAAAAATTATATAATGGATGACTAACTACAAAAAACGAGGACAATTTAGACAATGCAATACACATATTGTGTTTATATTGAAATAACACAAATGTACATAGTAATCGGGTTAAAATAGATTACGATTTATTCGTGTCAAAAAAACACAATTAATTAAATGAGTTTAATTAGGTTAAACAAGTTGAGCCCCAAACACGAACACGACACAATTAATTAAGCGGGTTAAATGAATTGATACGACACAATAAGGTCAACCCAAACCCGCTAACTTTCTGTCGTGTTCGCGGGTCGTGTCGAATTTTGCCAACCCTAGGAGCACCTTTCAATTTGAAGGCAATCAAAAGTTGGCAGCTTTTGCATTCTAATTATTTTTAGTTTCAAGTATATTGCGGTCTATTAGTATGCGCTTGTTTAAATCAATTGTCATGGCTTGCGCAGACCAGGCATCACTTTATCCTCTAGTAAACCTGATTTAACTACGTAGGTGTCTGAACAATAAAGATTCCCTCACTTGACTTATGATACATTTCAAAAACCAACATTTTCCCCCCTAGTTGAGACACCAACCAATTTACCTTACGGGGAACTTTAACCCTTGGCTTTCTACTAAAGAAGGTGTGGAGGTACTACTTGGCTTAGGGGTGGCAATTGGATGGGTTTTGGGCTGGTCATGAACGGGTCAATAACCCCTTATCAGCCCATTCATAGTGGGTCATAATTGGGTTGGGTGTTAAATGGGTAAGTGAACCCACACCCAACCCAATAACCCAAACATTTTTAGACACAAATTGTCTTGAGTTATTTTTATTGTTGAATATAAAAATAAAAATAAAAATTTGTTCTTACATTAATTTTTTGATTTCAAGCGTTACAATTTTTTTTTTTCTTTTTTTATTTTATTTTGGGAAAAGTCACTATACAACTTACTCAACAATATTAATTATATATATATATATATATATATGTAGAAAAAGAGTTTTGAGCAGAAATTTTAATTAATTGTTGGTCATTTATTTTCATACAATAAAACAAAAGTTTTTGTTTTTTTTTGGCCTGCCAAGAATAAAAGAAAACAAGAAACTAAGAAAAATCAAAATCAATGCTGAAGTAAGCCAAGTTCCCCAAAAGTCTCACATAAGATCAGTACACTGAGTCCTCAAAGCCCATTGGCTGAGAGAGAGAGTTATCACAGGAAAAAAAAAAAAAACAGACTGGAGATAGAACGGAGGGGAGGGAAGAGAGAGAAAAAAGGGGGAAGAAATGAGAAAACAGAGAAGAGAGAGGAACGGAGGAGAGAGAAAAAAAGGAAAAGTGAAAGAATACTGAGGAGAGAAAAAAATGGTAAAAAAAAAAAAAAGAAAGCATAGAGGAGAGAGAAAATGGATGAGAGGGAAGAGAGAAACGTAGGAGAGAGAAAAAAGGGCAAAGATGAGAGAAAATAGAGGAGAGGAAAAAAAGAGGAGAAAAAAAAAAAAATGAATACTAGGAGAGAAAAAAAAGTTTTGTTTGAGCGGGTTAAGATGGGTACCCACTCTTTATCCACCATCGACCCTTGATTGTAATGGGTACCCACTTTTTACCCATTACTGACCCACTCACTTAAATTTGGGTGCCCAAATGATTTAATTTTAGTGTACGGGTTTGGGCATAAATTGTCACCCCTAACTAGGCTAGAACCGTTGGCAGCAACCAACAATTTCATCTTTCCCCCTTGGAATTCTATTAACTCCACAAGCAACTGAAGCTATCTAGTTATCTGTTTAATGTCCCAAGTTTACCCACAAAATAATTCATATAAGTTCCTTAGGGCTTCATATTTCTCCTGCCTGAGTTCATTTTTTCCCCCAAAGAATCTTGCATTGTTATAAATGCGATAGGCAACACACAAATTATTTTAATTAACCACTGCATCTTGCTACTTACTATATGTTTACCAAAAGATGCTAATGACTATTTCCTTGTTTAGCTTGAAGCAAAGTATCCACTTGGAACCAAAAAAAATTTCTAGTTCTTTTGGTCTCTGAATATTTTTTAAGCCACCAATTCTAGCACTGAGAAGCTATTTGAGGTTGTTGTGTCTCATGGGTCAACCTATCTCTTCCCAGATTGCCAATATGCAGTGAGAATGCATCAAATATCAGAAGATTGGTTGACATACTTCGCCATGGAATCTCAAGTCATGCTAAAGAGCTTAAAGGTGCAAAGGCTTTAATTGATGGAAAGTTGGTAAACATGCCACTTTGGGAGCAATGTTATTGATTGCTAAATATTTTTTCCTTCTACACCCTGGATGTATTTGTGAATTTATTTTCCTGACATTAGTTCTTCTATAATTTTGAGAAAGCTCTGTCAAACAAAATTTGTATGTGTTTCAACTGAACAAACTTTTTACTGAAATTATTACGTCGCCACTGACCTCTCCTGTATTTATAGTTTTACCAATTTTTCACCAAAAAACATGTTTTCTACTCGAGTAACTTGTCAGATCAAGCTAATTACCCCACAATACCTTAAGCATTTAAGTGTCTTATTAATTAAATTAATTTCCATTAATTAAACCAAAAATAAACCTAAAGTATCACACTAACCATTATCTCCTTTTTTTGCATGCAGCAGAAATAATGTTCAACTACTATATTACTGTTCTTTTAGTGGACTATCTCTCATATCAGCTTTGCTTAAATATATAGTCTTCCACTCTCTTTTAGGTGCTTGAGGATGAACAGTTATTAGATGGTTTGCATGAAGTTGAATTTCTTCTACCTTTCATGCAAGATGCATCTATGGAAGGTGCGTCCTGACTTTTTATTTTTGGATTAGGTTATTCCTTGCTATGAGCATAATTAGTTATTTATTCTAACATTTTATTTGTTTGTTTATTTAACCATTTTATGTAAAGCATGCAGCCAAAAGGAGGTCCTTGGTGTTCTCATCCTTAGTGGCTCCGTGTGTTCTTTTGCATATTTAAATTCAAAAGAACCATTTTCACAGGCTTTGGCTGATATAAAGGTATTATATAACTTATAGTTTTGGCACCATTCTTGATTTTCAATTGAACACTTATTTTTGCTTTTATATTTAGTGGTAACTTAAATTTGCATTGTGTAGTTTGGTTTCTTGAATAATATTTGTACCTCTATATGATATATCATAACTCTGCTCTGTGTTACATGGACACTCCTATTCCCCTAAATGTTCCTGTGTTGACACAACGTATGAGATATGTGTACGACATGCATACCCAAACCGACATATGTGTATGAGATATGGAATCCTCCTCTTTCCATTATATTCCTTTTAATTTAAATTATTATTAAATCTATTTTAAAATAATAATAGTAATACAATTAATTTAAATTATTATTAAATTATAATAGTATCAATAGTTACACTTTTATGTAACATATTATATTTTTAATTGACTAAGACGTGTTCACATAACCTGCATCCAAGTTTTGGACATATTTCAAGTGGAGTTCCAGGCTTCCTGTATCCTAAGATTTGGGATCCAAGTCAGTCCGACACTTGGATACATACCCTCATCCTGTACTTTTAAGTGCATGAAGTACCCGTGTTGTGACACTTGGGCATGGGTATGGAATATGAGTCTAACATGTCAGGTCAGGTATTACGCTTCTTTTGTTACGTCATTGCTTAAAAATGAGTCAAGTGCCCAAATAGAACACTTTATGTTACACAAAAATGGACCATTTACCCTGGCCAAGAGAAAAAATATTAAAAATATACCATATCCCTGTGTCCACTTTGGGATTTGATAAATCGGATGCTTAGACACGTACCTCCATCTGAGTTACATTTGCGTAACATAATTTCATAAAAAGATTCCTTTATCCTTGGAGTACAGATTGATATTTGTTATTATAGGAGATTTATTGATTCCTTACCATCAAATGTCTTGCATTGCTTATACAATGCCATATCTTTGAGGGAAAATGCCAGCCTTTGATTTTTTCCTTCAAAAATTTAGAAATGTTTTGAATGTTGTTTTGCATTACTCTTGAATAATCTTTTCTCCTTTGCAATTGAGGAGGCCGGAAGTGACATGGGCCAGATATGACCCGCGAACATGGCATCCGGTCCGAGCAGATGGGTCAAGCCCATAGAGAAATACTGCCATATGGGCCGAACGCGAATAGCCCATCAAAGATGACCAAAACTCACAGAGGAACGGGCCCAGATCTAGCAGTCCATTAGTGTTTGTAAGTATCTATAAATATGAGAAGTAATGGATAGAGAAAGGGGGAATTCTGTTGAAGTGTAAAAGTTCTAGAGAGAGAAAGAAAATATGAATTTCTTGCATCTTCAATTGGCGCCGTCTGTGGGAATCGTTGAAGATTGATTGATCATTTATCAATATCGCGTGGATTCAGACCAATTCGTGGAGACGAAACTCGATCTTTGGGAGTTGGATCCAGATCTGAGCGATTGTGACCTATTCTGGGGGAATTTTAGTTCCTGTTGCTTTGGCGGAAGTGGCTTCAGATCTACGCAACAACGAGTTGTTCGATTGTGGCCGGATCTGACGGATTTAGAATTCAGACAATTCAGATCTCGTCAACCGCAAGCATAATTCGGAGAATTCGAAACCAGATCTGAAAAATTCGCACTCACGAAGCTCAGATCTACTCACGAACTTGAGATTAATGCCTTTACTCCGTTCAGGAATAATGATAGGTGAAAGCTCCAATCCGATGGAGGCTGTCCAGCAAACGAAGCTTGAGGAGTTGATGAACTTGATCGAAGCTCTCAAAAAAGAGAATGCAGAATTGAAAGCTGGAATGCAACATCAGCAAATACCCGCGGTTCCGCGTCCACTTCCGGCCGGTGAAGGAGGTATTCAATCTAATATCGCACGTCAAGGCGAGCAGGACGAGAACAATCAGTCAGCTCTCCACCGTGATGAAAGAAGGATGGACGATTTGCCGCTAAATGTTCGTCGAGTTGAGGATCACGAAGGATCGACTCACGTTGATCCGTGACATGAGCAGATCAGACAGAACGAAGCCATGACCTTCGATCCGCATCGGGAAAGGTTCAACCGAGAGGAAGTGATAGAGGTTGATCGCCGCCGAGTTGTATCGCCTTGGCAAAGAGAGCTCATTGAGGAACGGTCGTTCGATCCGTCTTACCGGCCCTCCATAGCTACAATCACTCATCGCGGTTCGGAGAGCAGATCTGTAGCTCATAGAGCTACCGCTGGGCTCTAGAGAGAGAATGAAGCACTCCGATCCGCGGCTCGGACGGTTGATTCACCATTCACTGACGAGATCCTGAATGCTCCGCATCCAAGGAAGTTTGCTATGCCAGTCTTTATTCTCTTTGATGGAACAACCGATCTGATCGATCATGTGTACCATATCCAGTTGAAGATGGCCCTGAATACGGAGAACGACTCTTTAATGTGCAAATGTTTCCCTACAAGTCTAGCCGGACCAGTGGTTCAAGAACTTGCCTAGGAGCTCCATTGATAGCTTCCGAAACCTGTGCGATCGGTTCATAAGCCAGTACTATGGGAACAAGCGTCCGTCGAAGGACATCTCGAGCCTATTCACAATGAAACAGCACAAAGATGAACGTCTCCAGGCTTTTCTCACCAGGTTTAATCTCACTAAGAGTATGGTGATCGAATGCCACCCTTCTACAGCGGTTCAAGCCTTCAAGTTAGCCATGACACGTGGCACTCCGTTCCATACCAGTCTGGTAGTGAACACACCGACGACTATGGATGAACTCAATGAAAGAGCCGATGGCTTTGTGCGCCTAGAAGAAGAGGAGGCAGCCAATGCTCGGACAGCGTCGGTCGTGTCGACCAAGGAAAAGTCCAAGGCAAAGATCAGGCAGAAGCAGGCTCAGCCGTAACGTCAGACCTCCTGGAAGGCAGAAAAGAGGTCCAGGGAGGAAGAGCTGATCACTCCGCTGAAGGTCACTCTGGCGAGACTATATCAGGAGAACAAAGATAAGTTTCATCCACCACTGCCAATTAGGCAACCCCTCGAACAGAGGGATCAGACTAAACATTGTGCTTTCCATTCCGATTTCGGTCATCAGACTAACGAATGTAGGAATTTGAGAAGGCAAGTGGAGATGTTGATAGCTAGAGGGGAGTTTGCGAGTTATGTTCAAGGCTCGGCGATAGAGCAGAATCGACTGATGGAGCAAGTAAAAAGGAGTCAGAAACAAAGCTCCCACAATTCACAGCCAGTTCGTATAATCAATGCTATCCACGGTCGACCCGAGCCCAACGAAGATTCAGATGAGCTACTCCGGACGCGCCTACGGCAGGCGCAGATGAAGAAAAGGGTCAGCAGTGTGAATACTTTGCACCAACAGATCACATCGATACAGATAAAGTTCGACAGGACAGACCTGCAGCGTGTTCAAGTCCCCTATGAAGACCCGTTGGTAGTCAGCTTGACAGTGGCGGACTGCCTGGTGCGCAGAGTTCTGATCGATCCCGGAAGTAGTGCGAATGTCATGCCGAGGGACACGTTTGATCGGCTCGAGATTAAACCAGAGAGGCTCAAGCCCACTGGAAATCCCCTGTTAGGATTTGATGGCAAGAGGGTGGAGCCCATCGGAATGGTGGAAGTAGAAGTTCAAGCTGCAGAACGAGCTCTTATGGAAACTTTTGTGGTTGTGGAGATTCACCCCTCGTACAATCTCCTGATGGGAAGAGGATGGATTCACAGAGTCCAAGGTGTACCCTCAACTCTGCATCAGGTCATGAGGTGCCTCGGACCCGATGGAAATAAGGTGATAGACATTCGTGGGGATCAGGTTGCGGCCAAAGAGTGTTATTCCGTCACACTAAAATATGCTGGGAAAGGGAAGGCGCCTGTCCGTTCGGCGAGCCCCAAATAGCAATTACAGGAACCTCCGCCCAAGCAGAATAGGGTGGAGGAGTCAGTTGACTTGACCGAAGAGCCCCTTCTGGATGTGCAGATCGGTCAGTCTAAGCCAGAGCAAACTACCAGAGTAGGAGTAAGACTGACCAGGGAAGAGCAGCAGGAGCTAATTGACTTCTTGTCTCACAATGCCGATGTATTTGCATGGAGTCACCTAGACATGCCTGGAATTAATCCCTCCGTATCCTGTCATTCCTTGAATGTCAATCCCAATTTCAAACCAGTAAAGCAGAAGCAACGAAGATTTGCTCCAGAACGTAACCAAATCATAGCCGAGGAAGTTGATAGGCTGCTCGATGCGGGATTCATCAGAGAAGTGCACTATCCTGATTGGTTGTCCAACGTCGTTGTCGTGCAGAAGAAGAATGGGAAATGGCGAGTATGCATTGATTTCACCAATTTGAACAAAGCCTGTCCGAAGGATAGCTTCCCGCTGCCAAAGATTGATCAAATGGTGGATGCCACCACCGGGTATGAGCGTTTAACCTTTCTGGACGCTTATTCAGGTTATAATCAGATCCCTATGGACCTGGCAGATGAAGAAAAAACTTCTTTTGTAACCGAGCGAGGGACATACTGCTACAAAGTTATGCCTTTCGGACTGAAGAACGCGGGAGCAACTTATCAAAGACTTGTTAGCAAAATTTTCAAGGATCAAATAGGAAAGATTGTGGAAGCCTATATTGATGACATGGTGGTAAAGAGTAGGAAGAAGGATGATCATCTGAAACATCTGCAAGATGTATTTGATGTGCTGAGGCGATATGGGATGAGGCTCAATCCAACCAAGTGCTCGTTCGGTGTGAGTTCCGGTCAGTTTTTGGGACACGTGGTCAACCGCAGAGGCATCGAAGTTAGCCCCGCTCAAGCAGAGGCTTTGATTAAGAATGCCGAGCCAAAGACGATCAGAGAGGTGCAAGCCCTCACAGGACGAATAGCTGCATTAAGTTGATTCATTTCTAAGTTGTCAGACCACTGCAAGCCGTTCTTTGACACGATCTGGAGTCATGGAAGATAGGTCTGGGGGGATGAACAACGACAAGCATTGACCCATTTGAAGGAATATATGCAGAATCCACCAGT